AGGATATTTATTGTGTCTTGTCTTATATTTAAGTCTTTAAGCCATTTTGAGTTATTTTTGTGTATGGAGTGAGGGAGTATTCTAACTTCATTGATTTACATGCTGCTATCCAGTTTTCCCAACACCACTTGCTTGTCTTTTCTCCATTGTATATTTTTGCCTCCTTTGTCGAAAATTAATTGACCATAGGTCTGTGTATTTATTTCTTCAACATTCTTTAAAAACAGATTTTTGCATGAAATCCATCTCCTCTGACCTGTTCATTTAGCATTCTTTATTTTTAAACCTTTTTACAACTGTACAATATGAAACACATAGAAAAAAGTACACAAAATTGTTCAACTCAATGATTTAAGCAAACATTTACACAAGCTAACCTAAGGAATAAAACAATGCCTGGACCCCAGAACCCTCCCACTTTGGTCTCCTCCCCAATCACCCTTGCTTCATTCCTCCCCAAAGGTAACCATTATTCTGACTCTTACAATACATCCATTTCCTTGTTTTTCTTTAAACTTTCACACCTTAAGCAGGTAACTCTAAACACTATAGTTTTGTTTGGACTGCTGTTTGAAGTTTATGTAAATAGAACCATATGATATATATTATTCTGTCTTGCCCTTTTCAGTCAACATTATATTTGTAACATTCATCCATGTTGCTCTGTGTAACTGTAGAGTGTTCATTATCAATGCTGTATGATAACTCTACTGTATCACTACACCATAGTCTACCCATTCTAATGTTGAGTATATGTACATGAGTTGTTTCCATTTTGAGGCTATTATGAATAATGCTACCATGAACATTCATGTACAGGTGTCTTAGTGTACACACTTCTATTGGAAATGTACTTTAGAATAGCTAGATTAAGGACACATACAGCTTAAATGATGATGTCGAAATGTTCCAAAAGCGACTATATCAATGTATATTTCTTTTAGCTGCTGTTCCACATCCTCACAACATTTGACACTGTCAGTTTTTAATTTCTAACTATTTTGTAAGTAAATTGTGATAACTTACTGAAGTTTTGTGTTTTTCCCAATTACTAAGAGTTTAAGCCCCTTTCCAAGTGTTTATCTTTTGGATGTTTCTCATTTGTGAAGTGCCTATTCAATGCTCTTGCTCACCTTCTGTTTACCATTTGTAGTGTTAGGGTTGATTTACAGGAACACTGGATATGAGCCTTTGAAGGTCATATAAGATGCAAATATCTTCTCATGTCATTTACTATTTCACTCTCTTGATGTGTTTCTTTTATGAGGAAGTGGTGAAATTTATCAGTCTTAGGTTTAGTACGTAAGCAGAGATTTTTAAATCACTTTCTACACTTAGATCATAAATATAACCTTTTATATTATCTCTTAGCTTTGTTGTTTTGCCTTGCACTTCTAATCTATAGTTGACATGGAATTAATTTTTATGAATGGTATGAGGTTGCAGTTGTGTTTCTTATATATTATTTCAACACCATTCACTGAAAACACTATTCTTTCCCTACTGCTCTACAGTGGCACTTT